CTCAAGCGGTCGATGGTGTAGTGGATAGGTAAGTTGCTTCATAGGTGGGAGGTCATGGGTTCGATTCCGTCGACAGAATTGGACTTTTGCATTTTTTCGGAACATAGTTCAGAAAATACTTCTATCCGTTATTTTGTCAAGCTTGCTCTTACTTGCAGCAGGAAAAGGCTTAAATGCCGGCAATTGTGCTTCTCTTTCAAGACTTCAGGTAGTGTTTACCTTTTACTGCCCAAATCACCCGGAATCAGGCCAGTTTTTGACCGACTTTTTCTTCGTAAGCAGAATTGGCTGAAAAGTTGCCTACTAGGGTAGTCTGCCCTTCTGAACATGATTATCACATCCGCTCGGCACGAAACCTCCTAGCACCCGTGCCACAGGCGCCAGCGCCAAAATACCCTAAATCACCAAGTTCGCTGAAAACTTGTCAACTGGGGTAGTTTGACCTCCTGGACACAAATATCCCATTAGCTGAGCCCGGAAATGCCTGGCGCCGGCGCCAAAATACTCGAAATCACCAAAATCACTAAACTTTTCAACTGGAGCAGTTTGACCTCCTAAACACGAACATCAATCTGTGGGGCGCTGAGAACGTTTGGGATAGAGGAAAAGGAGTAATGTGATTGCGCAACCTGCCGATTGCCTGTCTGTACCCCTCCCCCTGAGATGAGGCCCTTTCTCTGCTAAGGCTGAGCCTCAGCAAAGGGAAGGATTTCTATGACAGGCAACCAGGAAGAGTGGTGCGTTACTTCGGCCAGTTTGCCCAACTGCCCTAGCACAGAGCCCCGCACGAAAGCGACTGGCGTATGCGTCAGGCGGTTTCAGACTGTACGGATGTGATATTCGTGTTTAGGGGGTCAAACTACCCCAGTTGACAAGTTTTCAGCGAACTTGGTGATTAGGGTATTTTGGCGCCTGTGGCGCGGGCGCCAGGAGGTTTCGTGCCGAACGGATGTGATAATCATGTTCAGAAGGGCAGACTACCCTAGTAGGCAAATTCCAGCCAATTCTGCTTATGAAGAAAAAAATCGGTTGGAAAGTGGGCTGATTTCGGGTGATTTGGGCAGTAAAGGGTAAACACTGCCTAAAAGTCTTGAAAGCGAAGCACAATTGCCGGCACTTAAGTCTTTTCCTGCTGCAAGTAAGAGCAAGCTTGACAAAATAACGGATAGAAGTATTTTCTGAACTCGCAGATGTTCCGAAAAAATGCAAAAATGCGAACCTGTCAAGGAATCGAACCCATGACCTCCCATCTATGAAGCAACTTACCTATCCACTACACCATCGACCACTTGAGACTGTCTGTACTCGAACTTAACTTGAGCTACGCAAAGGAGGATCGGCGAGTGCTATGCTAAACGACCCCCCCCCCCCTAACTCCTCATAGAGAATCGTTCGGCAAATTTTGGAAGCAGATTTGAGTTCAGCGTCCCAGAGACGTACACGTCGATATGCATCTCATCTTGAATGGCCATGGCGACCTGTTGACCTTCCCTGGTAAGAAATCTGTTTGCAATTTTGATGACACCAGTCGACAGGCCGCCGACTTGTTTGACTCTCACCCCCACTTCTGGGAGAAAGGGAACGCTGACCCGCTCGTCAGATGGACACTGCAGTGGCTAACAGTGACGAGTATATTGTTGGATAATTACACCTGCTGTTGAACTAGAAGGTAAAAAAGAAAAATCGTAACAGTGACAAGACTTTCTTTTCAACCTAACATTTTTGTTTTTGAATGCTCAGTGCTGTTTCTCTTTTAATTCCATCTGTGCCAAAAATGAAGATCCCTTAGCGCAGTAAACATGCCACTTTTTTCCTATTGTTGTCATTTTTATGCTGTTATCTAGATATTGAACCCTTGTTCAGTTGAAGCTGGAGAAACAGAGGGGAATGCAGTGAAAGGGTAACACATCTCGGCGCACTTCGGCTTGGTTGGGCAGCAAATGGTACTCACCCAGTCTAAATCACGCCATTTGCGAAGACATGAGAATTCCTATAACTAAGATGGCTATTTTATATCGCTACGCGCCCCCTCACATGAGCTAACAGATCTTTGAAGCATAACCTGTTGCGTAACCCGTTAGATAACATGAACTAGAAAAGCAAACTAACGAAAGCGCAAAATGCCCCTTCAAAGCCGAACAGCACCCTCATATCTTTTTGTCGATAACTACATCATATGAACGAATCCTTTCCTCTTTTATTACCTACACCCACCATGTACAGCACGATGACCAAGATAGTAGACGAAATCGTTTGTGACAATACACAGAATCCATACAGCAGCCGAATCTTTCGGCAGATCTATTAAATGCACTCGATCGTATACCACCGGATAGACCGCAGAGCAAAGCCAGTAACCACCACATCTAAAATGAAGCGAGCAACAGTTGACAGATCTCTAGAACGAGAGCGATTAGTGTGGTATGATATTATTGAGCATAGTATACCCTTGTTTTGTATTTTTGCTTCACAAATCACAGTGACCGGTTGTAGGAGACGCGCAAGCTCAATACGAACTTAGTGACAGGAGAATTTCAATGATTAAAGACACACTTCATTGAGACAAAAACTCTCGACTTTGCCAACATGTGCATCGGATCCGTGGACTGCTCCGTTTAAGCATTTCCCAAAACCCGGGAAGAAGTGTATCTCATGCTGGGACTATGTAAGAAGCTAAGGCAGCCCTAGGACAGGATGTTGGCTCTTAGGAATTTCAAAGAGTTTCGGAAATATCTAGAGAAAAAATTTACTTTATGACGAGATAAATAAGTCCTCCATTTATCGACGTCACTGCATCGCTGAAATTGTACTTCTTCTCGTCGAGTAACAAATATTCCAGAATAATCAAGACGAACATACATGTCGTAGCCTGAATTACGTAACCTGGGGTTACTGTCTAATCTATAAAATCCACTCAAATCACGCATGCAATAGTTACCGCTGGGCACGTCAGAGTAATATAAAAGGCGAAAGGTGGTGTTGTTTGGCTACTGAGGGGTCTCCAGATAGGAGACAAGCAGGGAGACCTGTACGATATTGGCAATCCAATCTGCCTGCTGTCTGTAGCTCATCACACAAGTCATCCTGAACAGGATTGGCAGAACACTAGACGAAGGACAGCCATGCGAGCAAGCAGGGTTTCGAAGAGGATTCAGCACGATCGATCACATCCACACGGTAACGAAGCTCATTGAAGTATCGCGAGAGTACAAGATGCCGTTATGTCTCACGTTCATCGACTTGAAGAAAGCCTTCGACTCCGTTGAGACAGAAGCGGTTATCGAAGCCCTGGGCAACCAGGGTATTCCTACTCAGTACATCAGGATTCTTCGTGAGCTCTACAGCAACTTCACGACCAAGATCTCACCATTCTACAAGGAGATCATCATCGATGTGAAGAGAGGGGTCCGACAGGGCGACACCATCTCGCCCAAGCTCTTCAGCGCCTCTCTCGAGAACGTCATGCGTCAACTGGAATGGGAAGACATGGGAGTGAAGATCGACGGTCGGCAACTACACCATCTCCGCTTTGCTGACGACATCGTTTTGATAACACCAAACATCGAGCAAGCGGAACGAATGCTGGCTGAATTCGACTGCGCGTGTGGAAAATCGGTCTAATCTAACGAAGACGATGTTCATGAGAAACGGATTGGTTTCTGATGCCCCATTCACGCTCAACGGAACGACCATCTCTGAATGCTCTAGCTATGTGTACCTAGGTCGTGAAATCAATATGATGAACGACTTAGCACCAGAGCTGAGCAGGAGGAAGCGAGCGGCTTGGGGAGCCTTCAAGAACATCGAGGGAGTAGCGAAGAAGACGAAGAACACTCCGTGCCCACCTCTTCGATTCCGCGGTCCTTCCTGCCTTGACGTACGCCTCAGAGACTTGGACTCTACGAAAGCAGGATGAGCATGCGGTCGGCGTTATTCAACGCGCCATCGAAAGGGCGATGCTCGGAGTTTCCCGCTACACGCAAGTGAGAGAGGGAATCCGGAGCTCCGCACTCCGCCGACGATGTTCAGGACGCATTTGCCAAAGTTTCCAAGATCAGGTGGGCTGGGCACGTCATGCGTTTTGAAGGCGGCCGCTGGACAGAGCGATTACCGATTACTGAATTTCACGGGTTGTCAAGCGACCTGCGCCTATGGTCAGACTTCTTCGTGAAAGCTCTGAACGAATGGTATGAAGTTCATCGTGTCCCTCGAGCAGAGAGAGTCCATTGGGCAACTCTTGCACGTTGCAGGGACGAATGGAGACGTTACTGGCGCCCGCTCGAGGAACTCGATGATCATGCAGAACAATTGATACAGGCCATCCGACAATGCTGAGATTCCATCGATCAGACCGGTCAAACTGCAGGTAGTATATTTTCAATTACTATTGCGGTATGCTAATAGGACTCCTTCAGCTGCTAACGATGTCGTGAAAATTCCAAAATTTGTGGACCTGCTGCCTTGTCGGACCAGGAGGTGTAGTGGCAAGGGTACGCTCACCAGGTGCACGGTCTCGGCGTCTAGTTCCAAATTTTCTTTCGTCCTTTCGGAGACGGTGAGTTGGTACCAGATTCGTTAAGGAGGACAAGAACACTGACTTGTACATCGGCTGGCCCCCGCAAGTCATTGTATAGGCCACATCGCATTCAATAAACCACTGCGATTTCGAATGGAAGCGGAGCATGCCGCATCCTAAAAAGGGATAATCTACGTCGAAGACTGCATCCTTCTTGTCCTTTTACCGTCACCTCTTGTTGTAGATGGAGAATTATACTTGATAGTTCTTGGTACTATTATGACGCGCGTGAAGTCTTCACACGTTACACTTGAGGGATCTCATATTGCCGACCGGGATCTTGTAGCCTGTGTGTGCACTAAGCAGTGCCGTCCTTCATTCAAGTACATCCGCCTCTGCAACAACTGCTTGAGTCGCCTTTGGCATTTGGTTCCTCTCTCTTACATATCTGGGTTGCACTGACAAGGGAGGTGTTTCAGGTCATGGCGCGCTTTTTGGAAATGGTTTGTTGCTTGTTGTAGGGGTCCATACAAGGGTCACAAAAATGGGTTTCATTTTTGCTATGCGTTTCTGGGTAGGTCAAAACTGAGTGAAAGAATTTGACA